GAAAATTTATAATCCCGAGGATAAATCAAATATCCAATGCAATCCTCTCATATTGTAGCCGCGGTTAGAACAATGCATCCATTTAGGCGATATCAAATCTTGGCGGCAGCTGCGACTTATTGTTGGTGCTACGTATAGAATCGATATATGCGCAGAAAATTGAAAACCGCCACAATCAAGCTTCAAGAACGTATCAAGCTTCAACGATCTGCCGGAAAATTAACTTTAAATGCAATTTAACGCGATTAATTAAAAATTCTTTAACTCTCTCTCTCTCTCTCTCTCTCCAGCAAATAAATGAATATTTTACTAAATGTCTGTGCAGGGGAACCTGTTTACGACGGATGGCGTTTCGAGATATCGGCAAAATGCCGCGCCGAACGGATGTCGTAACTTGCGATAATTATAAAACGCAACGTTAAATAGGCGAGTCCGTTTAACAGGAGAGAGAAGGCAGGAAACGATACAGTCGAGGATATAGCAAGGATTCACGATGCTATTTCACGGCGACACGTAAATAGAAATTCTCCTTCGCGTTGTCAGTTCAGCGAGATTAATTCTGATTTTAATGCGATAGATTTGTATTATTAATAGACCGTACAATAACGGTGATCAGGCAATCTGATCGTCCGTGAGATCGGTCTTATTACGTAAATTGAGAGAAGGAAAAATACTGCCGCCTTCTTTGCGTGCCAACGACTGTTACACGGCGGATTAATAAATGATAATAGACGAGGCGGAGAAAGGTTCGCGCATTAAAAGAATCGTAATAACGAATCAATGACGGCTGCTGCTGTTATTAGACGGAAACTATGCGACTTCGGAGGCACCCATGTTATTCGCCTTTCACCGTTATCGTGGCATACCGTTCAGGTACGACCCGCATGTTTCCGGAACCCCGTTAAAATATTTGTGAAATATTCAACTTTTGTACCAGGAAAAATGTTACGAAAATGTCATTAGTTCTAGATTAAAAGTGTCACCGACACCAGTGTTCTCTATTAAGAGCAAAACTTAATTTTCCTCGTTCAAAAGATAATGATATTTTGCAGAGGTTATTTTATAATAGATCTTATCTTATACGTACCTTTCTTATAATCTTTTTATACATTTAATTTGTTACATTACTTATTAACTCCTTTTTTATAATCTGCTTCGTAAAATTTACGAAAAATTTTTTCTTAATTTTAGAAGTTAAATCTTTTGGCGAGTGCAAATAAATCAAACACTCGATAGAGTGATAGTAAATTGACAAGAATAAATGCATACAAGTATAACATATAAGCAAATATTTTTAAAGAGCAGCGTCAAACCAGACAAAAGCTTTTGGGATATATTTTATCAAAGATAAAAAAACTTGTGTGTGGACACAAGTTTATCAATTTATAAGATGAAATTCATATAATAAAATCCCTTCCCATAAAAATCTGCAATAAATGTTTCTACTTTTTTAGACTATAGTGTTTCTATAGTTCAAATTTCGTTTATTTATAAATAATAAAATACTTTATATGTTAAATATTTTGTGCACTTTAAACTAATGCACCGTTAATTCTCACGCTGAAACAATGTGATATATAGCGCATGTTTAACGTAGGAGTCAGATACTGTTATCGAGACACTTCACGCCAACTCTTATTTTGTATGATATTCATGTTCTCTCACAACTTGTATTATTATCGTAAATATTTTGGATGTGCCTATGTGCACTACAGTTTTATATAACCAGCATATTTTATAGAGAAAGAGAAGATATCTTCTTTCAATATAATTAACGTTTATACCAATAAATGTTTATAATCCAATAAACAATTATACATATACTAGCTTTTCGGACCGCGCTTCGCGCGGTCCTCAAAGCCAGCCTTTCTATTCGGACCGCGCTTTGCGCGGTCCTCATATAGTCTATATTAAATCCGTTTTAACACAAAAAATTAATTCTTTTTTTGTATTACCGCGAACTACTTCCACATTTGTTGTTCGACTTTCACGAAATTTATACCAAAATAAATGTTTAAATTTTTTTCTGGATGACTACTATGTTATCTATTTCTTTCTCCCAGATATTTTATTTTCTTTTTTTAAGACACGCTTTCTCTCTCTCTCACTCTAAAACACACGCGCTCCCTCTCTCTCTCTTTAAGACACATGCTCTCTCTCTCCTTATCTCTCTCCCTCCCTCTTTCTTTAAGACACACGCTCTCTCTCTCTCTCTCTCTCTCTCTCTCTCTCTCTCTCTGTGTATGTGTGTGGGGTTTTTTAAGTTTACGCTTTCACCTACGCATCCACCCACACAATCGCATATTTATGAACGGATTTTTTAAAAAATTGGTACCAAAATGTTGCAAATTTTTGGCGACGATGTGGTTTTTTCAAGTGTTACACCTCCACCCACACGCATGCGCATTTATGGACCAATTTTCACGAAATTAGTACCAAAATGTTGCAAATTTTTCTGAGAAAGCTGCTGTGTGGTTTTTTTAAGTTTTATCCCACCCACGCATGCATCCACGCATTCACACATTTATTCACATACTTTTTTGAAATTTGTAGTTAAATTTTGTTGGAGATGGCTACTATGATTTTAACAAATTTTTATCATCCTATTATCACCCACGCACCCATGCACCCATTTGCATACGCATTTATTGACTTGGTCACACCAAGAAGTAATTTTTAAAAAATTTGTGTACGTATTTGTGATTATGTGTGCAATTCGTGTAAATAAACCTTTAATTTGTATGCAATTTTCACGAAATTAGTACCAAAATGTTGCAAATTTTTGCAATCACAAACATGTACACAAATTTATTTAAAATTACTTATTGGTGTGACCAAGTCAATAAATGCGTATGCACATGGGTGCATGGGTGCGTGGGTGGATGAATAGGATGATAAAAATTTGTTAAAATCATAGTAGCCATCCCCAACAAAATTTGAGTACAAATTTCGAAAAAGTCTGTGAATAAATGTGTGAATGCGTGGGTGAATGCGTGGGTGGGATAAAACTTTAAAAAACCACACAGCAGCTTTCTCAAAAAAATTTGCAACATTTTTGTACCAATTTCGTAAAAATATTGGTCCATAAATGCGCACGCGCGTGGATGAATGCGTGGGTGGAGGTGTAACAATTGAAAAAACCACATCGTCGCCATCTTCAAAAAATTTGCAACATTTTGGTACCAATTTTAAAAAATCGGTTTATAAATATACGATTGCGTGGGTGGGTGCGTGGGTGGAGGCGTAAACTTAAAAAAATAAAACACCAGCTTTGTCAGAAAAATTTGCAACATTTTGGTACTAATTTCGTGAAAATTGGTCATAAATGCGCATGCGCGTGGGTGGGTGCGTGGGTGGAGGTGTAACACTTGAAAAAACCGCATCGTCGCCATCTCCAAAAAATTTGCAACATTTTTGTACCAATTTCGTAAAAATATTGGTCCATAAATGCGCACGCGCGTGGATGATTGCGTGGGTGGAGGCGTAAACTTAAAAAAATAAAACACCAGTTTCCTCAGAAAAATTTGCAACATTTTGGTACTAATTTCGTGAAAATTGGTCCATAAATGCGCATGCGTGTGGGTGGATGCGTGGGTGGAGGTGTTACACTTAAAAAAACCGCATCGTCGCTATCTCCAAAAATTTTGCAACATTTTGATACCATGTGTTCAGAAATATTGCAAAAAAAAATTTTTTTCGCAAAAACATACCCTCCTCTGAAGAAAAAAAATAAAAATAAAAAAATTAAAAAAAAAACCCACAGCAGCCACCCCCGAAAAATTTGCAACATTTTGGTACCAATTTCGAGACAATCGGTCCACAAATGCGGAAGTAGTTCGGGCACAGACAGACAGACAGACAGACGGACGGTGCTTATATATATAGATTAAATTAATCCCTCTCTCTCTTCTCTCTCTCTCTCTCTCTCTCTCTCTCTCTCTCCCTCTCCCTCCTCAATATTATATATAATAATATAATATTATAAATAAATATTATGTAATATAATCATTTTTTGCAGTAAAACAGAAAGCTCGATGGGCAAGAGCCGGAAGAGGTACCAATTTAAAAAAAATCGGTTCATAAATATACGATTGCGTGGGTGGGTGCGTGGGTGGAGGGGTAAACTTAAAAAAATAAACCAGTAGTTTTCTCAAAAAAATTTGCAACATTTTGGTACTAATTTCGTGAAAATTGGTCCATAAATGCGCATGCGCGTGGGTGGATGCGTGGGTGGGTGCGTGGGTGGGGGTGTAACACTTAAAAAAACCGCATCGTCGTTATCTCCAAAAAAATTTGCAACATTTTGATACCATGTGTTCAGAAATATTGCAAAAAAAGATTAAACATACCCTCCTCTGTAGAAAAAAAAAAAAAAAAAAAATTAAAAAAAAAACCCCACAGCAGCCATCCCCAAAAAATTTGCAACATTTTGGTACCAGTTTCACGAAAATCGGTCCACAAATGCGGAAGTAGTTCGCGTACATACATACAGACAGACGGTGCTTATATATATAGATTATATAATTGTTTTTACATAGTATTAATATAATAATAATAGTTTACGATGTTTGGCTACTTTCAAATTAGATGTAAATTAAAATGCTTGTTACATTATTGATTATTTAAATATTAAGTATTAATGCTTCTTTATAAAATCATTGAATGTTTAACTTAATCTGAATAACGAAATGCTTAAATATTTCTTCGTCAAACATTATGACAAAATGTAGTATAACATATATATTTCTATTTTTTACAAAGTTAATTTTTCAATAGATTGTTATTTTAATTGTTAAACAAAGTTATTTTTCAATAAATTATTAAAACATTACTGCTTTTATAATAAATTATATTTAAAATATTTGAAATATTTATCAATGTTGAATGTAACTTGTGAGAAGTATTAAATAGGTAAACATCGTTACATTTATTATATTATTAATAGGCTACCCAATCATAAACACAGTAAAATAATATAAGATCAAATGAATTTTACTCACCGGTGATGCACAACGACAGAGATTCATATACAATGTCTGTAACATACAAATATATTCAAATTATAAAGTAGTGTCGAAAATAATTATTTTTTCAAACAAAATTTCAAATAATAAATTATCGTGCGGAATTCATTCAACGAAACTATCACACGTTCATATTACCGAAGTGATACATCGTATAATAGTACGTGATTGCTCTATACATTTTTCGTATTCACTACTACATATTTATTTGAAGGCAATATTTATTCTTATTCATCGTTCATTTAAACATTTCATATTAAAACATTTTACACAATACTCTTATTGTTAGAACTATGGTCGCGCGGAATTTATTCGATAAAATTATCACATATTCGCATTATTGTCTCGATATACTCTATTTAAGTAATGTAACAATATAATGATCGCTCGATACTCTTCACGACACTTATTGTTACATACTTTTGGACGATTTATTTTGATAATCACAATTCAGATATAATCGTAATCTAAAATCATAAGTCAAATACAATGAGGTAAATGATTCGTATGACTGCAATATTCTGTAATATAATTATAACTATAGTGACTAAACTATAAAATTTCGTTAATGATCAAAAAGTATGAAAAAATTATGCATATCATATTAATTTGTATTACACGCTTATTCGTATTTTAATTTCATTAGCAAATCATTTTCCGATATCGCGATCGCGTTTAGAAAGGAATTCAACGGAGCGTCTCGCGTTATGATTTTTCTGATCAAGTGTCGGAGCGCGAATAATGACAAAGTCGATGCACGTAAACAATAGGCGCGCTAAATGACATCAAGGCCGAATACTATGTTATTGATATGTAATTCGTTGTCGATATTGCACGCACTGCGACATATAAAAATACATGGAATTAAATTATACAAGTAATCGTATTTAAAAAAAAGGAATGAATTATTTATTAAACGATTTGCGTTTCTCATGAAGCTTATCTTTATTTTAATTACTCGAATCTGTGTTTCAAATTACGCGTTCTCAATCTTTATATTTCGATCGTCGAACAATGAAGAATCGGACGAAATTTTTTTGATTTTGATTGTTGAAATATTTTACTTGCTACGTACATATATACAAATATGTACATATATATATATACGCGGGATATTAAATTATATGAGCATTTTAAAATAATTGCACGCGCTGATAATTGCTAATTATAATAATTATGCAGAATGATCGCATTTTGCATAATATTACACGCATGATAATACGATAATATATGAAGTGCGATTACACCGTTACCTTCTTGTTCGAGTCTTACTATATGAATGACGCCAAGGTTGTATTGTGTATACTTCACCTACGTATCAACTATACCCTACATGTATGCCAACTATACCCCACCAGTTACACATTCCACAGCATCCGTGATACAATCATTTAATAAATAATCCGTATTTTTTTAAATGCTTGTATAATTTAATATTCCATATGTATGTATGTATATGCATAGCATATAAAGTATTTTGCGCGATAATACTTAGAGTCGAATGTATTTCTCAGTCTGAATATGATCACCAAATTATATGCATTATCGATAATTTAAATGGCGATGCAAAATATATATAAATACAAACACATTTATAAAAATAATATAGAATATTAGTCATAAATGATGCAATAAAATAATTTATAATTTTATTTTCATTTTCTGCCACTTTGATTGCTACTTCAAATGAATATATCGCAAAAGATATTCACTTTAATAAATTGCGATACGCGCATGAGTCATTAATAGCGAATTAATTATTTGTGAAAGATTGATAATCTTTATTAATTTATAGAAAATAATTGCGTTATGCAATTCCAAATGTTTATAACGATCGTATTCCGAGAGATATAATACAATGATATACAGCGAGACTCGAGTGGAAAGATAACGTCACGAGACATTCTGCGTATCATTGCATTACTTTTTCAAATGCAATCGCGAAAAATTTAAAAGATGCCAAACGCAATCATTCAAATAATTATTACAATTAGCACGATTATCAGTTCGCGTAATTAATTATCTCCCGTGATAAACGATATAAAAATATTTCGATGACGGCTATTTGATTCAAATAACGAAATGGCATAAGATATATCGACGATGTTTATTAATTAATTAATAATATGCGTATTTCCCAGTATTTATATATCGTTGGAACTATATATTTGTTTATAATATCTATTAATTATATATTTGTTTATAATATCTACTAATTATATTTTATGTATTTCCTGGCGATCCATCGCGTCTTAACTTGGCAATTCGAGTTACGTAGTACCTATTGAGCGATATCAGAACGAAATTACCGATGATTCATGTCATTTCCGAATTTTTTGATCGTTAACGAAATGTCGCAGATAGGATTTAAATCGAGCGATAATTGCGCGGCGTATTTAATTATTAAATATAGCGGTAACTAACGAACCATGTTTTGATATCTGTCAAAGACAGATGATGAAAAATTCAGCATTTGCACATCGCTAATTTATTAAAATATGTATTTTATATAATTTATTCGATCGAAATCTATATCATGACATATCGGATATTTGATTTTCGGATATTACATCCTCAGAATATTTATCTTCAATTTTAACTTGTATATTTAGTTTATGTTATAGAGGAAGAAAAAAAAGAGAAAGAGTATACATTCACGATTTGTAAATCTCACAATTTCTTGCGATTACAGTTGCAGTTACATTAGTCACTCGTAATAATGTAACTAAAGTATCGCGTGTGAATAACGTTGAATAAAATTTGTGCAAAATTATATGTACATTTTCTATTGATTAGTGCGCGCATTAATTTTATAATTAACCATGTTTTCGTAAATGAGTGTTATATGTATAAGTGCCAGAAAAAAAACATTAAAAAATTAACAAGTGAGAAAGAGAATGGATTCAGAAAGGCATTAAACGACGACAGAGCAAAACTGGGATAAGATATTTTATATTTGTTACTTACAACATTAATGTCTCGTTTATCTACGAAATTAATTTAATGAGATATAAAATCTTAATAGAAAAGAGGACTAATTTGGGAAAATTAAGTTTAATGACATCCTGCTAATCTATAAATCAACTAATTTATTACCAAAGTCGCTGTTGGTGCCCCGTGCGATTTCCCATCGATATCGACATCATTTCATAATCAAATCAATCGAAGAAATGTATTTCCGCATGTCTTTTCTCGAATTAGGGCAACATTATTTTCATATCATGATGCGTGTGCGTGATCATGATGTTTGTGCATATTTAATTTTACGTCAATATTTGGGCTGTATCGCGCAGCAGATATGGTTTCATTATATTATTGTAACATACTTCAATATTGTTAGAATAAAGCGCGATGAGAAATAGTGGGTTCTCTAGTGCTCAAGATTAGAGACAAGTGGCATCAGCGATATTATCTAATTTAAAGCTATAGTTGAAACACACATATGCGCTGTTAGACTGATTACTTAGCTAGTGTGTATTTTTATTCACTTGCTACACAGTTAACATTTTTTCTCCGTATTATTTTAAAGATTACGCAATATATGTTCCAATCATACTTGAAATGATAACATATTCTCTTCTGATAAATCTTTAATTATCTATAGACTAATTATATATGGACAATATAATATTTTTTAGACAAAAATAAAAAAATTTAATTAAATAACACATAATCCTATAAAATAAAAAACGTATATCTTGTCATTATACCTATATTAAAAACAAAATAATATAGAAACGAAACATCAATATTATATGAATAATAAAACTGTCTATAAAAAATAAAATTGTGTATGAAGAGTGATATTCAATTCATTCCTCATCGTGATTCTCCGCTTTGCAACCAATTCCGTCGAGCAGACGGCACAGCTGTATCGAGTGTTTATATCATGAATCATGGTGCAGGAGAAAATTATTCGGCGCCCGTAGTTAATGGTAATCACTTAATTACGTTACGATGCTTTGTTCACGAGTACTCGCTTCGAGTACTCCAAGTGCGGGATCGCTACGTTGACCGCGATCGATTATCTCGATTTGGTTGCGGCCGCGTGATTAGAATACCGATTAACCGTGATTAGACGTGACCGTGGACATTCCTGCCGCACGCAAATGCCTGTTGGTTACAATGGTGTCGAACAACAGTGTTATCTATACAGTGGGACCACGTACGTATGTATGTGCGTGCGTGCGTTGGACCATAAGCCCCGATTATGCGTTTCCCTAAACCTCTGTCGGGCACCGCAAAGGAAAATTTCCAGCGGTCTCGGGGTGATCTGAATATTTTCCTCCCTTTTTAAGAATTATTCAAACTCGATATTATAAAATACTGATAACGTTAAAAATTAATATACACAGTGTAACATCACGCCCGCTTTTAAATTGAAATATATTTTATTAAATACATTTTTTTTGGTGTCATTTTTGTTTGTGAAACTATGAATCACATGCAACTTTCGATTTTCACACTTTAAGAAAGTTGGATGAGACTTGACAGTTCACAGTTCTGAGCTCGCAAAAATTCTAGAGAGGGATATCGGATAAGAAAAAAATAGCACAGGTCCCTTTGTTTGGCGCGGATCGAGACCTAAAACGGAATCTCGTTCAAGAACAGGTCTGTCGAGCATATAATTTCCTCGGGAATCGCCGATAGCAGAAGCGCGCGAGAAGTGGCGGGAAGACAGAAGGATTGAGTAACGGATCGGCGAACGAGGTGAAAGAGAGAAGGAGAAGGGAGAGAACGCGGAGAGACTAAAGGGGATCGAGTATTAATAGAGACTCGGGCGACTGGAAGCCGGAACTGAGCAGCGCGCACCTCTTCCTCCTCCTTCTCCTCCATCTTCTTTTATCTCTTCAAAGAGAGAGAGAGACAGAGGGAAAGAGAGGTCGCCTTATTTATAAACGGCGAGATGAAACGTGGCTGCGCCATCGTGAGAGGAAACCGTTCTCGTACTCATACTCATAGCGATCCAACGCAGCTCCCACGCTTCCACAGATGCATTATAATGCATGCGC